CATTGGTTTCCAATTGGAAACTATTGATATATATATATATATATATATATATATATATATATAACAATGGTTTCCAATAGAAAACTAACAAAAAAAACAATTGGCTTCAAATGGGGAGCTTATCAAAATTATTGGTTCCCAATAGAAACGTAATACAAATTGTTTCCAACAGATTTTTTTTTTATATATATATATATTTAAAAAAGGGGAAAAACATTGGTTTCCAATAGAAGACTAATTAAAACAATTGGTTTCCAATGGGGAACTAATGAAAACCATTGATTCCCAATTGAAAATTATTGAAAACTATTGGTTCCCAATGGCATATTATTAATGCTTATATATATATATATGTATATACATATATATATATATATATATATATATATTCGAAAAAAACAACAGAAACAATTGGTTTCCAATCGAAAACTAATAAAAAGCATTTGTTTCCAATAGAAAACTGGTAACAACAATTTGCTTCCAACAGAAAACTTTTTTTTTAAAAAAAACATGGTTTGCCAATCGAAAGTTAATTAAATAATATTGGTTTCCAATAGAGAACTAATTTAAACTATTGGTTTCGAATAGACAACTATTTAAAACCATTGCCCCCCAATAGAAAACTAATAACAACCAGTGGTTTCCAATAGAAAACTAATGAAAACCATTGGTTCCCAATAGGAAACTAATTTAAACCATAGGTGTTCAATAGAAAACGAAGCCAAACCATTGGTTCTCAATTGAAAACTAATTAAAACCATTGGTTTCCAATAGAAAACAAAGAAACCCAAACCCAAACCCAAACCCAAACCCGAACCCAAACCCAAACCCAAACCCAAACCCAAACCTCACCGGCTATAAGTCAGGTGTGACCCTAGTAGTAGTATTAGAAATATCGTAGTCGTAGTAGGAGTAGTAGTAGTAGTAGTCGTCGTCGTCGTCGTCGTCGTCGTCGTCGTCGACAACGTCGTCGTCGCTGTCGTTGTTGTAGCGAAAAAAGAACCGTAGTAACAGTAGTAGTAGTCGTAGTCGTAGTGGTAGTAGTAGTAGTAGTCGTCGTAGTCGTGGTAGTAGTTCAAGTAGTAGTCGTAGTAGTCGTAGTAGTCGTCGTAGTAGTAGTAGTAGTAGTAGTAGTAGTAGTAGTCCACGTTTTTGTAGTAATACTGGTAGTCGTAGCAGTAGTAGTGTTAGTAATGGTAGGAGTGGCAGAATTTCAACGCAGTAGTAGTAGTAGTAGTAGTAGTCGTAGTAGTAGTAGTAGTAGTAGTAGTAGTAGTAGTGGTAGTAGTAGTAGTAGTTGTAGTAGCCGTCATAGTAGTAGTAGTAGTAGTAGTAGTAGTAGAAGTAGTAGTAGTAGTAGTAGTAGTAGTAGTAGTAGTAGTAGTAGTAGTAGTAGTAGTAGGAGTAGTAGTAGTAGTAGAAGTAGCAGCAGCAGCAATCGTAGTAGTGGTAACAGTTGTGGTAGTAGTAGTAGTAGTAGTAGTAGTAGTAGTCGTGAAATTCGTACTACTGGTGGTGGTTTTCGTGGTAGTTGCAATGGTAGTCGTGGTAGTAGTCGTAGTAGCAAGAGTAGGGGTAGGTGCAGCAGTCGCAGTATTGTGGTAGTAGCAGTAGTAGTCGTAGTAGTAGTAGTAGTAGTAGTAGTAGTAGTGGTAGTAGTAGTGGTTGAAGTAGTTGTAGTAGTTGCCGTGGTAGTAGTAGTAGTAGTAGTCGTAATACTAGCTGTATTATGTGTAGTCGTAGTGGTACTAGTACTAATAGTAGTTGTAGTAGTGGTAGTAGTCGTCGTAGCCGTAGTCGTAGTCGTCGTAGTAGTAGTAGTAGTAGTGGTAGTAGTAGTATTCGTAGTAGTAGTAGTAGTGGTCGTAGTGGTCGTAGTCGTCGTAATAGTAATGACAAAAGTAATAGTAGTAGTGGTAGTAGTAGTAGTAGTGGTCGTAGCTGTAGACGCAGCCGTAGTAGTCGTAGCAGTAGTAGTAGTAGTAGTAGTAGTCGTTCTCGTAGTAGTGGACGTCGTCGTGTTAGTAGTAATGGTGGTAGTGATAGTAGTAGTGGTAGTAGTAGTAGTAGTAGTAGTAGGTAGTAGTGGTCGTAGTAGTAGTAGTAGTAGTAGTAGTAGTAGTAGTAGTAGTAGTAGTAGTTGTCGTGGTAGTAGTAGTAGTAGTAATCGTAGTAGTCGTCATAGTCGTAGCAGTAGTAGTTGTAGCAGCAATCGTAGTAGTAGTAGTAGTAGTAGTAGTAGTAGCAGAAGTAGTCGTAGTGGTAGATGTATATGAGCAGTAGGAGTTAAACACGCCAACAGTTGGAGGAGTGTAGTTCCTGCGGTGGGCGCACCAGTTTCAGTAGTCGTGCCCTGTTCATTGCTAGTGGTAGTCGTGGTAGTCTAGTTGTAGTAGTAGTAGTAGTAGTAGTAGTAGTAGTAGTAGTTGTAGTAGTAGTAGTGGTAGTGGTAGCGGTAGTAGTTGTCGTAGTCGTAGTTGTAGTATTTTTGTAGTAGTAGTATTAGTCGCAGTAGTAGTAGTAGCAGTCATAGTAGTAGTGGCAGTAGTAGTAGTAGTAGTCTTGATATTCTTTGAAGTAGTAGTAGTCGTCGTGGTAGTAGTAGTAGTAGTAGTAGTAGTAGTCGTAGTAGTCCACGTAGTAGCAATAAAAATAGTAGTAGTAGTAGCCTGGGCAGTCGTAATAGTAGTAGTAGCAATCGTAATTGTACTAGTAGTAGTAGTAGTAGTAGTAGTAGTAGCAGCAGTAATACTCGCTTTCGTATGTCGTTGTCGCACGGGTAACAGTGGTGGCAGTTGCAGTTGCAGTTGTAGTGGTAATTCTAGTCGTACAGGTGGTAGTAGTAGTAGTAGTAGTAGTAGTAGTAGTAGTAGTAGTAGTGGTAGTAGTGGTGGTAGTAGTAGTAGTAGTCTTCGTCGTCGTCATTGTCGTCGTCGTCGCAATCGTAGTCGTGGTGCTAATAACCATGTGTAGTTCGCTACCAGTGGTCGCACTCGTTGTTGCTTTCGTCACAATGTTCGGTGGTACTGGTGGTAGTAGCCGAAGTGGTAGTACAAGTAATAGTAGTAGTAGTCGTATTAGCAGTCGAAGTGGTAGTCGTAGTAGCAGTAGTAGTAGTAGTAGTAGGAGTAGGAGTAGTAGTAGTCGTAGCCGTAGTAGTAGTAGTAGTAGTAGTAGTAGTAGGAGTAGTAGTAGTAGTAGTAGTAGTAGTAGTTGTAGTTGTTGTCGTAGTAGTGGTAGTAGTAGTAGTCGTAGTAGTAGGTAGTAGTAGTCGTAGTCGTAGTAATAGTAATAGCAGCAGTAGTAATAGTCGTAGTCCTAGTCGTCGTCGTAATCGTAGTACCCGTTTCAGTAGTAGTAGTAGTAGTAGTAGTAGTAGTAGTAGTAGTAGTGGTAGTGGTAGTAGTACTAGTAGTACTAGTCGTGGCAGTAGTAGTAGTAGTAGTAGTAGTAGTAGTAGTAGTGGTAGTAGTAGTAGTAGTAGTAGTAGTAGTAGTAGTCGTAGTAGTAGTCATAGTGGAAGCCGTGGTGGTAGTAGTAGTGGTAGTAGTAGTAGTAATAATAATGGTAGTGGCTGCATACAGAATAATGGTAGTTATTCGTACATCGTGAGTCGTTGTTGTCGGAGTCGGGGTGGCTGCCATTCAAGCAATGGGCCTCGTTTCGGCAGTGGTAGAAGTCATAGCGTCAGCGGTTGTAGTCGTCTGAGGGGCACCTGTACTAGTAGAAGAAGTAGTAGTAGTAGTAGTAGTAGTAGGACTAGTAGTAGTAGTAGTAGTAGTAGTAGTAGTAGTAGTAGTATTGGTGGTGGTAGTAGTTGCAGCAGTAGTGGCAGTAGTGGTAGTAGTAGTAGTAGTAGTAGTAGTAGTAGTAGTAGTAGCCGTAGTCGTAGTAGTGGTAGTAGTAGTAGTAGTAGTGGTAGTCGTAGTAGTAGTAGTAGTAGTAGTAGTAGTAGTAGTAGTCGTAGTCGTAGTTGTAGTCGTACTAGTAGTAGTAGAAGTAGTAGTAGTAGAAGTAGTAGTGGTAGTTGCAGTAGTCGTAGTAGTAGTAGTAATAGTAGTAGTAGTATATGTGGTAGTTTATGTAGTACGAGTAGTCGTAGTAGTAGTAGTAGTAGTAGTAGTAGTAGTAGTAGTAGTAGTAGTCTTAGTAGTAGCAGTAGTAGTAGTGGTAGTAGAAGTAGTTGTAGAAACGATAGTAGTAGTCGTAGTCGTAGTAGCAGTCGTAATAACAGCAGTAGTGGTAGTAGTTGTAGTAGTAATGACAGTAGTAGTAGTAGTAGTAATCGTAGTTGTCGTAGTCGTGGTAGTAGTAGTCGTAGTAATAGTAGTAGTAGTAGTAGTAGTAGTAGTAGTAGCAGTGGTAGTAGTAGTAGTAGTAGTAGTAGTAGTAGTAGTAGTAGTCGTAGTCGTAGTAGTAGTAGTAGTAGTAGTAGTAGTCGTAGTAGTAGTCGCAGTCGTAGTAGTAGTAGTAGCAGCAGTAGTAGTAGTAGTAGTAGTAGTAGTAGTAGTAGTAGTAGTAGTAGTAGTAGTCGTAGTCGTAGTCGTAGTACTAGTAGTAGCTGTAGTAGTAGTAGTAGTAGTAGTCGCTTAGTAGTAGTAGTAGTAGTAGTAGTAGTAGTAGTAGTAGTAGTAGTAGTAGTAGTAGTAGTAGTAGTAGTAGTAGTAGTAGTAGTAGTAGTCGTAGTAGTCGTCGTCGTCGTCGTCGTCGTCGTAGTAGTCGTCGTAGTCGTAGTCGTAGTCGTCGTAGTCGTAGTAGTCGTCGTCGTCGTCGTCAGTATATGTGCGGTAGTAGTAGGAGGCGCCAAGGTAGCCACCGTTGGCCACTGGGAAACGTCAGCCAGTGCACGAGGCGACGACGAGCGCCCACCTGGCGAAACGTTGGGCTCGCCAGCCAATTAGTCAACAACGCAAGTAGCCATTCTTGTGTTCAAGCATTGTTTGGGGTGAAAAGTGAAACCCGAACACACCTGAGGTTTCCGAGCCCCCTGAACCCAACAGGGACCTCGAGGAGGACACCTTCTTCACGAGCTGCAATCAGGCCAAGATCTTCGGCAGGCGCGCCGGGCGGAAAGCCGCCCGTTCTGGGAGCGCCTTCCTGTTATCTGGGTGTCGAAGGTCTGGGCACATGATCGGCGAGGCGCTTCGTCGGACTTCGAAACCTCGACCATCGATCCTCCTTCGGTACTCCTTCTTCATCGTCCCTCGGCCCTCGAGCGACGACGAGGACGGCGCGCGGCGACGGCGCTGCGCGCGACGCGCGCGCCTCAAGGGAATGCTTCTGCATGCGTATGTGTGTATTCGGAGTTGATCTTCAAAGGCCCGCGCGCGCACATGATGCCTTGCGGCGTCATTCCGAGGCCCCTCGAAGGCCATGAGCGATTTCTTCCAACACCTTCGTTGCTATCTAAGACGCGGTACAGCACTCTCTTAATATTCCTCTCTCTCTCTCTCCCTCCCTCCCTCCCTCATTCTTTCTCTCCCTGTCTATCTTCCTCCCTCTCTATACCTTTCTTTTTCTCTATATCTCTCCCTCTCCCACTCCATGTATATATATATATATATATGTATCGTCCATGGTCTGGGCTCCCCCCTCATGCTGATGCCATCGGGTCTCCCCCCCGCGCGATGCCCCCGTGGTCCACCCGTCTCCCCTTCGTTTCACCCTTGGCGTGCTCGCTGCGTTTCCCGCGGTGGCCGCCGGTCGACCCGCAGGCAGTGCTCCTTCCCGGGTGCCTTTCCTGCCCAGCCCCCACTGCTCCCCGTCCTTGGGAACTTGAGCAGTGGGACGTCGCTGACAATACTGACTCGTGGGCTACTGCTGGGGCCGTGATCCACCTGTCCAATACTGGCCTTCGGCCCGCTGTAGGTGTTCTCACCCCCAGGGCGCGTTTTCTAGCGCAGCCGGGCGCCCCGCCGGGTCGGGGTGCCCCCCCCCGCTGTGCCTGGCCTCCTGCCTCTTCGCCGGTTGGTGGCGTCGTCCCCACCGCACTGGCTTTTGCTTTACCGCACATCTCGCGGTTCTTCCTCTGGCTTCTTCGTCGGTCGGTGGTGCCGTCCCTCCACCGCTCCGGCCTTCGCTTTGCCGCCCAAACCGCGGTTCCTTCCCCATACTGGGCTGGCGGCCGTCACGGCGAGGCATCGCTCTGTCCCGTGCGCTCCCGCCACGTGTGGTTGACTCCCTGGACTCAGGCTTGGGTCTTTCCAGTGGTGCCTTCCGCCCGTCGTCACTGTGTGTGTCAGCTCAGAGCTCGTGGACCGGTACCGGGCCCGTGTTGGGTCTACCTGACGCCACCTCACGCACTGGTTCGTGGTGACCCGCGCCATTTTGGCTGCGTCGCGGCTCCGCTGCTTCCCGCACTCGTGCGCTCTGCTGCCTCGGGACCTCCCGGCTACGGCCACCCTGGGAGTTGCAGCCTGCCAGCGCTTCCGCCTCCTGGCGTTAATTCTTTGACCGACGGTCCTTCGGGCCACCCTGGCACTCTCGCTCACGCAGACGTCCGGGGCTTCCCCTTTGCAATTTTCAATTCCACTTCAACCGGCGGTCCTTTGGCTGCGGCCACCCTGGTGCTCACGCAGTTGTCCGGGGTTCGGGTCCATGCATCAATTCCTCGGCTTCCGACCCGGGTCGTCGTTTGTCCCGACCTCCTTGTGCTTCCGACGCCATGCATATTTGCACGCTGGCAGTTCGACTCAGTCTCAGTTGCCCTTGCCACCCGCCGGTCCGCCGCTGGGTTGCCGCGTGAGGCCTCGGTTCGCCGCGTTAGGCGTGGCCTGTCCCCGCTGCCTTCGCTTAACTCGTCGCTGCGTAGTGCGCTTTGACCTGACTCGCCGCCGGCGCGCTCGCCCACGGCCGCTGACTAAAAAGTGTCTCTCTCTCTCTCTCTCTTTCTCTCACTCCCTTCCTCTGTGTTAGGGGAACGAAGAATTACTTACATAAACAAAACAACTCGGAGGTCCGCGCGGATTTCTCGGATCGGCGCTGGACCTTCCTGGCGCGCGGAGCGCGCCAGGGGCGGCGCCGGAAGCGCCACCAGGGGGGTCCAGCGCGGATCCGAGAAATCCGCGCGGGCCTGCGGGCTTTTATGTTTATGGCATTAAATATTCGTTTCCCTATGTGTGTCTCCCGCAAGGGCAGAAGAGCAACCGTAGCAAAAACAGCATCGCACAACGACTGCAATCAGCATCAGGTTTCTAAGCTTTACCCCGCTCTCTTTGGTCGACACTGGCCCACGGTGCCAGAGGCGCCGCCAGGGGGGCCCAGCGCCAACCCAAGAAATCCGCCCCGCAATCCGAAAGTCTTTGTGACGTCGGTCGAGAACATGACCTTTTCCCCGCCGTTGCCGACACCTTCCCCTCGCAATCTGCCCCTTCCGGCGCGCCGGGTTCGGGGGGCGGGGGCGCCCGAGGAGGGACAGGGCGAAGCAGGAAAACGTTGTGACGAACCAGGGGTTTCGGATAGTGGAGCAGGGAACGAGGAGAATGAACAGGAAATGGCCCGATTAGTTTCGTATTGTTTCGGTGTTTTTTGTGTGGATTTCCTGGTCCGTTTCCAAATTTCTTTGGTTCGTAAGATGTCCCCTGCTTGCCCCTGCGTTTTCTTGGTTCGCCATCTAGCCCAGCCCCAGGTACGAAGTGGGGGGCATGCCCGGCGTCCACAGGGACTGGTATTACAACTCCGCTAGCGTGCTGGAGGTGGACCCGATGGATTATGGCAAGCGGCCGGCTCAGAAGGCCCTCGTAGCAGGTTGTGGCATCGTCGGATCCCAGCATCAAACCAAACAGGACAAGACCAGCTTCGCCGCCTTTGGCCTCTGGAAGCCGCCACCAGGCCCTGGGTCTGTCAATGTTCGATGGAAGTGGAAAGCTCGGCTTCGGGGAGGGGGTCGAACGACCCGGGGCCCACGCTCTTGGTCCGTCACAAAGCGATTGACGATGGAAGTTCAGCCCGGGGGAAGGGGTCAAGAGCCCCATGCCCCCCGTTATCGAGAATCAATGGATCGGTGATGCATCCAGAATGCCCCCCATGCCCCCCGTCATCGAGAGGGCATGGAGGTATGGATCGGTGGCCCATGGATCTGGATCCAGATGGTCGGTGGTGCCTGTCAGGATGTTTGAAAGACGGAGTGCTCCCTGCTTCAGGTCAGATCTGGTCGGTTGCATCGTAACGAAGATCAGGCCGCGGGGATCAGCCTGTGTCCGCGGCGGGGGTTGCGCTCCTAAGGTGGCCAGCATCCATCACCCCGATGACGATGCACACGCAGACAGTCAAAGACATGCTAGACAAGATCGGGGAGCCGCAAGACTTCGGCGACTGCTCCGCTGGTCTCTGCGATGCCTTCGGACGCGACGCGACGGAGTTCACGCTGTACGTCACATACGTCGGCCGCATCGCAAACATGTGGTGCATCCACGACATCGAGGAGTCTTCCACCTCTCACCACGTTTCGCACTCGGACTTCACATCTGCGCCAGTGAGTCCCCGCCCCCCCGCCCAGTGGGTGGAGATGCAGGATAATGAAGAAAGGAAGGGGAAGAGGAGGAAGATGAGAGAGAGAGAGAGAGCGCGCAACAGTTCGGATTGCAGGTCGTCCAGGCCTAGCGGGGCTTGACGGTCGCTCAGGCCTACATCTTACTGGCTGGAGGTGCCGCAAAACAGGAGTAGGGCAAACACCCTCCCCCTTGGCGCGGTCCGCAGGGGGCCACGACGGGAAAGAAACACGGGTCTGTGGCGATCTGGGCGTGGCACAACCCGTCTGCACACCCGAGCCCAAGGCGCCGGCTTCAAGCGTGCTTTGGCATGCGTGTTTCGGTACGTCAGTGGCGACGCCGCCGCCTTGGGGCATCCCCTGCGGTGGCCCAGTGCAATGGCCGCGGAACAGTTGCCAGTTGTTCTCAAAGCACATCCGAGAGAGGAGAGGCTAGCAGTGGTGTGCGAACGGTGAGCATCGAGGTGCGCCGGGAGGCTTCTGGGGATGGTGACCCCGAGAGATGCGGCGGGACGAAGGGCCTGTTACAGGGCGTTTCAGGCGGACTGAGCTCTTTGGAATCTGCCCAGCAGAGGGCTGGATTGTTCCTTGGTGGCACGTAGGGTCTGCGCAAGGTTACCAGCACGCTGTTGCAGCGCTGTGATGCGACACGGCTGTAGCCTGGCAGCCATGAGGTGCTGCGCGAGACCGTGTCTGCGATCCGTTCGCTGCATTTGTGTTCCATCGGTGCCTACTCGCTCTTCAGTGGTAGGGCGGTCGCCAGTCCCCGTACCCTGGTGGGAGGGGGAAGCGACCTGGTGGCCAGGCGGTGTGGCTGCGGAGGTGAGGTCCTGGTGGATTTCTTGTGGATGCCCCCTTGGCATGAGGCAGCCAGGACGACGGTGGCGTCGGTTGGTTCGATGGCAAAGGTGGCTGTGAGCCCGCGTTTGCCTATTGCCATGCCGTGACGACCCAGCAGCTTCATGGGCTCTTGTGCCTGTAGGGTGCGGAAGTGGGAGGTGAAAGTGGCTGTCAAAGTATCAGTGGGGTTGTCGTCGAGCAGTTGCCGTGTTCTGTCACTCTCCGCAGTCTTCTGACGCTCTTTGGCCCTTCCCTGTGCCGTGCCTGCTCCACCTGGCTGTCGCGTGCCGCACATGGGAGCTCACCCAGAAAACTGGGAAGGGGTTGGCACTGCGGCAACACAGCATCGGTTTCGCAGGTGGCTCCGCGGATTGAGATCACATTGTCTGCTGGGTCAAGGGCCACCTGGACGATATCCTGCAGGCACTTGTCTTCTGTGCGGCATAACTGGCATATGGCTCACTGTGTGTGTGTGTGTGTCCTGGCGCGGGCTGGGTAGCCTTAGCCGTCTGACGGAGGACAGGGATTCGGACGTCTTTTCCTAGGAGATTCGTCAGCGTGGATTGGTCCCAGGACGGCATTGCGAGGGGGTGTATCCTTGCGGCAGATTTGCTGCATGAGGCGATTGCCCTCTGCTAGCCTGTGAAGGGACATGCTGCTCGTGCACGATGTGCCGCCCTCCGTCCCGCTGGGGGCATCCGAGCGATAGGGGGCATCCGAGCTCTGGTGCCTCCGGGCTGATGGCTTGGGGCAGCGCCGTGGCCCTGGTGGGCGCCGGCCGAGGCCCTGAGCCCTCGTGGGTCACGGCCAGAGCCCGTCTCGTGCGTCGGGGAGCAGCGCAGCACAGTCCAGTTGGTGTCGTTTTCCCCGCAGAGTTTGGGCTCGCTCGCCCCCGAATTCGCGCTGGTCGGAGCGATGTTGTCGGAAAGTAGTGTGGGGTTCAGTTTGGTGCAGCGACTGCTCGATCGACGCCACCACTGCTCTGGAATGCGACGGCGCGGGCTTCCTTTCGACTCAGGTTGGTGTCCTGACGATATTGTAAGGTTGCCTTTGCGCGGACCTTGCGTGTTGGTTGGGGCCGCGGTGGTGCAGAGGGCGCGCGCCATGGGCTGTTTGGAGCCATGGCGCACGCGGGGCGCAAGGGAGGTGACTCGAATCAATCACGCACTGGAGTGACGTGTGCCCACTCGCTTTGCGTTCAACGGATCTGTTGGGCGCTTCGAGTTTTGGCTTCGCCCAGGGCCGAAGGCTCTCGGACCGGGACTGGAGAGCGATATCAAGAGAGAGGGAGATATGAAACACAAGGAGAGAGAAAGAGAGGTACAGAGCCAGAGAGAGAGAGAGGGACTGTGCAAATTGGACATGTGCTGGCATCGCGTGAAACCATTACGTTCGGCACACCGCCAGCGGCACTCCTGCGGACTGCTGACGCGTCAAGCACACACAACAGCGAGCGGAGGGAAGGGGATACTCAGAACCAGTGTAAAGGTAAAGCCCTTGATGCCCCCTGGCGTGCAAATCTTTTTCGTCGTGGACGGCTCGGCAAGTAAGGCCGAACACTTGTCACTTCCACGCTCCTGGACGTGATGTAATGAAATGTGGAAGGGAGGTCCACAGCAATCACGGCTTGTACGATTGCTCGAACTGGCAGATGTTGTCTTTCCGTATCTTTGTGCGGCCAGCATCTCGTACATCGCATTGGCAGAGTTGTTTCCCTTGTCTATGCCCCCATGCTTCTCCTACGTCATGTTCCATCACCGAGGTTCCTCCAGCGTCGCACTGGCAACGCGCCACCAGACAGACTCTCGTTGCAGCGCCCCTTGCCTCGGCTTCAGTTTTTTGGTGCCCCGCAGGGGTATGAGGGGGAAGAGGGGCGAGGCATAGACAAGAGACAAGGAGAGACGGGGGGATGGGACGGGAACGAATGACCTCCCCCTCCGCCTCCTGCCCCTCCAGCTGTTCCTGCTCCTCTTCTTCGCCCACCACCGCCTTGGCCTGATCCTCCTCGCTCTGATGTCAAAGTAACAATTTGCCCAGGAGCGGCCGTTTGGCAACGAGATCGCCGTCTCCATCTGGCGCACAGAGAGTGACCCGGGAGCTGATACCACACAAGCCCTAGGGGGGTGGGGGTGGGGAAGGGCGGAGACCCACCCTGCAGGGCAGTGGAGGCCCCACCCCCTCTTCCCTTCTCTTCCCGCCCCATCCACCTCCCCCCCCTCCCCCCTGCCGCGAAAGCACCACCCCTGCCTCCCCGCTCCCCTCGAAGGATCCCCTTGGGTCTCTGGCAGACGAAACGAAAACGATAAGCACTGTTTCGCTCGAGCCCTGCCTGGATCCCCGAGCCTCGATCCGCCCCTCCCTCCCTGTCTCCGCCTGCTCCATCTCGCACGGGAGCGCGCGTGCAGGGCGATGCGGAGGAGAGAGGGAGCAAGGGGAGGAGGAGGGTCAGAGTGAACTGCATCACCGATGCTGGGACGATGAGGAGGATCGTCCCCAGAGATCCGAGGCTCCCAAAAATTGGAGCGGGTGTTTTTTTTGCTGTTTTCGGCCTCTCGGGGCCCTCGTCGAGCTTCGGAACCGTGCATCCACTGGCAATCCAAAAACATCCACTGGAAAACCAGCATCCACCTGCAATGCAACAGCCACCGGTAATCCAGGAGGGGGGTCGGGCCGTCTTAGGGTCACAAGTGATTATTTTGTCAACGGGCCAAGAATTGAAAATCGCCGGCCTTGTCATAGGCATGTCAATGAGGTGTGTCGCGGGGGGAACGAGAGGGCTGGGATCCCGCCGTAGGCCATGCGTAGACTTGCCCCCCGCACTCCAGCGTTTTGGGCACAGTGAAAGGTCTTGGCGTCTTGGACAACATCCACCGGTAAAGTTGGCAACCACCGGAAGCCTTGGTACATCTACGGGTAATCGTGTTTTTAGCAGTGAATGCGTATTTTTCGTTTAAGCTCATGCACTGGTAAACGGCCGACATTCACCGGTAAGGCCAAGACCGGTAAACAGGCCAACGCGAGCGCAACGTTACAACGTAACAGTGAAGAACCTCTGGTCAAAGCACGACCCGGGACGAGAAACCGGCCTTGGGGAAGTGGTCCGGACCTCTGGGGCCCACGCATCGAACAAATTGGAGCAGCCGGATGTCTGGGTCTATGCGTCTACGCGTCCTCCCGTTCCAAGTCCCCTCCGCAAAAGTCCTTACAGGCCTTCTTACCACCCGTAGGAAGCGCCCCCATGGAACAGGTGGGCACCCTGCAGGCCTGCCGTAGGGGGGAGAGCCCCAGTCTGAAGCGAAACTAACTGCCTTGCAGGAGGCCCCCCCGCCCTCTACGGTGACTGGCTTTTGCTCAGCGTGTCGCGGCTCTGGCCCACCACGCTTTGGCGCGACGCGCTGAGCACTCCCTCAGGTCCACAGGGGGGCGGCGCCAACGGGGGGGGCGAACGTTGAGCGCGCCGTCAGGCCTCATAGAGAAATTGAGATGACTTGAGAGAAATGGAGGAGTATCGAGACACATCGAGGGACATTGATACACATTGAGTTATAATTCGGGCTCCGCAGGCGATTTGGTGTTCTGAGCGCCGCTTGGCTTGCAAAAGCGGCGGCCTGCTGCCCCCCCTACCCATCTCCCCCCCCCCGTCTGGAGCTGCAGGAAGCACGTCCCAGTCCCCAAGCGTCAACGTCCCGAGCTGGCAGGGGCCGACGCCGCGACACGCTGAGAACACACATCCTGACCGTAAGGAGGATGCACGGGGTATTTCAATAGCTTTGAGGTCTACCGCATACCTCGCTGAGCTTTTCGTCCCCTCAGCTTTCCTTCGATTTCTCCGCCAGTAAAACACATCCTGACTGTGTCTCGCCCCCATCGCTCCCGCCGCCGCCGCTGCCAGTCTCCAGCCCCCGCGGCGCGTTGGGTGGGCGGGGGATAACTCGGGAAGCGGGCCGCAGCGGAGCGAGCGGCAGCGGATCGCGCGCCCCCCCACTCTTCAGATGACGCCGACAGGGAGGACACGTTCCAGCAAGTGGAGGCCATCGCCGAGCAGGACGCGTCGCAGAACGGTGTCCCTGGCCGGGGGTGGAGAAGACGAGTCGGACTCTGGGCGAATGTGTTGTTTTCCATCCCGGCGCGTTTCCTAAATGTCGGCTTCTGGGGGGGGCCACGGGACGGTCACGTGTGGATCCAGGACGCACGTTGCCCTTGGGCAAGGGGGCCGAAGAACTCTGAGGCCCTCGGATCGCAACAACCAGTCCATCGGACATGAAGAACCATATGTTTGTCCTCGTCGGTGCCTCTTACGCCTCCTTCAGCCGCTCATGTTGCGAATGGTATCTGCACATCATCTTGGCACGGGCACGGGCATCTTCCTGTGCGTGCGCATTTGGTGGATGGTGCTGTGTGTGTGTGTGTGTGGAAAAATGAATGTTAGTTACCCCTGAGGGGTGCAGAAGGCGAAGGAGGATTCAGGTCGTCCGCGGGGGCGCGGGGATAACCGCGCGTCGCGCGTCACTGCCTGGGCCGCAGAAGTGCCCCGTCTCAAGGGCGGCGGCGCCAGGGCGAGAATATGAGCGCGCGTCTCGCATCGCGGTGACGCTTCCCGAGAAGGCATCCTACAGGGTGGGGCTTTGACGGGGGGCTCGGTCCAGTTGGGTCGGTTGCTGCGCTGCTGCCTCTTTCCAGGCTGCCCTCGGTCTATTGGTCCTGGTCGGTGCCGGTTTCGCCATCGGTTCGGTCGTTTTTCGATCGTGGTGTCGCCGTGAACCTCTGTGGGGGTAGAGCGTGGCTCGCCCTCTATCATCCAGATGGGCGGGGCCTCCTCTCAAGGGATGGGGGAGGGGCTTTTGGAGGGGGTGTCGCGAGCTGCGCCAGAAGGACTCTGGCGCCTAGGCGCCAGTGAGTTACTGCCGAGGGCATTCGAGCCTCTTCGGATGAGGGCAGGAGCTGGTCCCCAAGAGTACAGCTGGCACGAGTGCTAAGAACATCCAGAGCGGTTTGAGTGGCTCCCCCACGTTTCTTGCGTCTGGGCGCTCCACCTTGGACTGCTATTCAGTTTGGAAGCTTCCAGGGGGGCTGGGAAGCTCTTGTCGAAGGGGCTCATCTTTTCGGCCTGCGCTCTTGCGGCTGGTACGGACGGCACCCCGATCCCACAGAAAAGAAGCATTGTGTATTTAGGTAGTTTGATTAGCGGCGACGGCAAAATAGGTTCAGAGCTGTCACGACGTCTAAAAGCTGCAGGGGCAGAATTTGACAAATTAGGCAGGGTATGGAGCCATTCCACTCTCACGCAACAGAAGAAGATTCAGATTTCTGATTCTTGCGTTTTAAGTAAGCTGTGGTACTGTCTGCACACTTCGTATCTTAACAAGCACGAGCTGTGTCGTTTGGACGCGTTCCAGGCGCGATGTCTGGGCAAGTTGTTGCGCATTCCCCATTCATACATCAGCAGAGTCTCGAACGACACCGTGCTTCAACGGGCCGGCGCCCGCCCACTTAGCAGCACGCTCCTCTGTAGACAGCTTCTTTTGCTTTGTCATCTCGCCAGAAAGCCAGGTGACAACGCTGTGCGTTGCGCAGTGTTCTATCCCTTTTCCTCCCTCCTCCTCCCCCCTCCCACCCAGAGAAAGAGGGGGCGACCACGAGCAAAGTGGTCCCAGGAAGTTCACAGGCACGCCTGCGAAACAGCTGGGGGTGTGGAGGCCCTTCCAGCGCTTTGGCAGGAGACCATTTCTTCGGCCACGGCGTGGCGTGTCGCAGTCAGCAAGTATTGCGATGCCGCGTGATAGTGGCCACTTGCTCATGTGCGTTTCGTACTCAGCATTTGCGTGCTTGCTTGCTTGCTCTTGCGGCCAGGCTTCCACTGTGCAGAGCAAACCGCATAGACATGCGACTCCGGAGGTCCGCGCGGCTTTTTCGGGCCGGCGCTGGGCCCCCACGCCCCCATGGCACGCGCATCGCGCCGGCGCGCGCTGGAGGTGCCACCCAGGACGGGCCCGGCGCCGACCCGAGAAGTCCGCGCGGACCTGCGAAAGCCTAGGCTCGTGTGTCGTAGCTCTGTCTTCTGCGGAGGCTCTGCGGTTGCCATGCCGCGCCGGCCGCCCCCAGGGTGCGCCCGTGGCATCCCCACTGGCTCTCTGAGGCCACGGTTTTCTGTCCAAGGCCCGACGCCCACTTGTTGTGGCCTCGGGTCGCCACGCCTGGATGCGGTGCGGTCGGGAGCTTTTAGACAGCGTGTCGTTCCGCCTGTTCTGGCCCAGCTCGCCCACGTGTGACACGCTGACCACGTTGCGGTCCCGAGGCGTCCACGTGCCGAGCTTTTCCGGGCCTCCGTCCCGCGGAGCGGAGCGACACGCTGCTCATTCGCAAGACACGCCATGCAAAAGTTCCCAATCGTATGTTGGGGCCGTGCCCAGGAAGGAGTCCGGGGAGCTGGCTTTGAGCAGGCTCTGGCCGGGAGAGGAGCGCGCGCCCCTGTGTCTTTCGAGCCACGCGCGGACAATTTGAGCCGCACTGTTGGGGTTTTCGTGCGCCGTCCTGCCAGCAGCTTCGGGACCTCCAGTTCGGTCCTGTTGGCAAGCCTCACAGGAAGCCTGCAGGGCTTTCTTGGCATGCCGCAGATGGTCTTGGATAGGTTCATGGGATCCTTGTGCTGTCTCAGGGCGTTTGGGACGTCATTCCGTTGTTTACAGCCTGTATGGGGCCATTTTGAGATCGTCTTGGCTTTCCTTCGGGACATCTAGGGGCCATGCGATGGTAGTTTGGTGCGTCTTGGGTCAGCCTTTCAGTCCCGTTGAAATCGTCTATTGGATGTACCCGAAGGTCGTCTGAAGAGGTTTGACGCGTGACGTCGGAGATCCTGGAGCTGTCGAGTGCCTTCTGGAAGTTATCTGGTGTGTGGACAGTTGGTACGCCTGGATAGTCAATATCTTTGACATTTTACGGTGGGTCAAAGGGCCCTCGCGAGAGAACCAAGTGAAGAGACGTCCATGGGTAGTTCTCAAGGGTTCTCGTGGATCGTGATCCCGCCTTTGGCCCGTTTTGGGTGCAGTCTTGGAGCATATCAGGCTGGTCCGTGGATTTCCTTGGTGGCCTCTTGGGCTTGATTCGGTTTAAATATACCCAAGGCGCTTTTTTAGCGTTTGTCAGTGAAAACGTTAAACACATGACGTATTGTTTTAGGTTTGCCAGACCATATTTTAACGTTTTCAGGTCCGTGGATTGCGTGTTTTCTTATCCTTGTGTATCCCTATCGTACGCAGTGTTGCTATTCTGCGACCGTCGCTGGTGATTCGTCGCGGAAGCTCGCCCTCCCCTGCTGCCGCCGTCCTTCCGATGTTATATAGATCGGTGTCAGAGCGTTTTTGTTGTTTTTGCTGTTTTTTTGCGTTTCTTGTTCTCCGCGTGGGAGCCGGTTTTTGGTTTTTGCCCCCCCTCCCCCCCCCCCTCCCCTCCCGGGTACGCAGCTCATGGATCAAGGCAGGTGCGTCGACTTGGGAGAGAGAAGGGGGGGCAGAAAGGGTGAACGGTGGCAGGGCGGGGAGCGCGGGAGCCAAGCTGGCAGAAAAGACAAGGAGGAGCTTTCGACGATAATGCAAACAAGAACACAATAAAATGTTGTACCACAGCGACGAACCTGAAACCGCCAAAACACATACCCTAAACACGCTAAGATAACGTAGTGTTTGTTTAAGGGGGGTTTTCAGCCTGCCAAGAGCCCAAATTAGAAAACGCAAGCAAAAACGCCCAGGGCGCTTTTAAGATGAGCCAAGCTCTTGGGCCACCTGGGTTCTGGCTGGGACCAGTCAGTATGTTGGATGCATTGCACGTCCCCCCGCTGCGTGGAAACGCAGATTTCGACAGGGCTTTTGCATGGGTTGGAGCTTGTACTGTCGGGGGAGGGGGGGGCAGAGGGGGGGTGATGACCAGGAGGGGGGGATACCATGGCGGGGGCCATAATATCTCCCCAGATTTCGCGGCGTCTCTTCTTATTTCAATGTGTCCCCAGCCCCCGCCCCCGGGCCGCGCACATGCCGCCGGCCATGATCTGCGCCCCCCCCCCCCCCCTGAACGCCCCCCTCATGGACGCCCCCGATACCGGTCCGCATGTTGCGTGCGTGCAGGACGGAGAAGTCGGAGCCGCAAGCCGGCCGGCTTTGGACGTCCTTGGAGGTCTTTGAAGGCCTCCATCTCTAAAGCACTGCGCGGATGGAGGGCATTGCCAACTTCCCCGCTTGGGGAAAGAGACTCCACCATGCCCAGTACCAGCCAGGGAGGAGGAGGGGGAGGAGGAGGAGGAGGAGGACGAGTGTAAACCCATGAGTCATCAACGATGTTGGGATAAACCCTCCGTCCAAGCTCCCTCTTCACAGGCCCCTACAACGGTCCATTTCCATTGAGGGAGCTGCCTCGTTGGAAAGCAACCGTTCGAAGACACTGAAACATGCCAGAACATTGTTCTCGGGATTGCAACGCCACGGATCAACCTGACTGTTGCGTCCTGACGATCTTGAATCGTGCCAGAAAGCCGTTGCTGGGATTTCAACACCGCGAATCAACGTAATTGTTGCGCCCGTATAATCCCGAATCCTTCCAAACAACGTTCTGGTACGTTGATCATGGGAACCCGCGAAACTCTTGCAAATGTTATAAAAGAAGGTGCGCTGCGCTAAAGCGAGAGCCACAGTTTGAAAAGGAACCGCCCTCAATGCGTGAAGCTCTTGCATTGTTCAAACGAGTGTGCGCGGCGCTACAGTGAGAGCCACATCTTGAAAGCGATTCGCCTTCAATCTGTGACATTGTTTCTAATGTTTCAAACGAATGTGCGCGGTGCTAAGGTGAGAGCCACATTTTGAAAACGACCCGCCCTCCATCTGTGAAGCTGTTGCCAATTTTCAAGCTTCGCATCCATGGGCATCTCTCGATGGAGGTCTTCGGCCCTGAAGGCCTTGGAGCCTCCCGTCTCCTGGCCAGACCCCAGTAGCTGCAGACTGTGCGAGGCGGCGGCCCGCCCACACCTCTGCCTCCTGGCCTCCGCACACCGCGGCCGGGGCGTACCCGCGACTGGCAGGCGGGGCCCTCTGCCCTCCGCAGCCTCCGCCCCCGCCCCGTCCCCCCTCTCTGCCCCGCCCCCTCCCCTCCTTGGAGCTGGCCACGGCGCCAGGCGGAGACTGACTCGCTGCTCTGGCTGCCCTCTCCCTCTCCTTCCGTCCCTGCTTCTTCCCCTCCTTCCCCCTCCCCCGCTATGAAGTGCCAGCGATTTACCGCGTCTTGTCCATGATAGCCGCTCTTTCCTTTGGGCACGTCACTTTGATTTGCCAGCCCACTTCGCCGACTTATCCAGGACCCAGTAGCTACCCCCCAAAGCAGAGCCTCATACCCCTCCTCGAGGTTCCAGGGTCGAGTCTTCCTTTGGTAGGGTGGGTCCGTTTCGGGCTTCCCAGGGGCCTTCGAAACTCCAGATACCTCGGGGGGGGGGCCTCGAGCAGGGCCAGAGCCCCGACGCTGGCCCTGACACCCCTGGGCCCCTCCGGCGCTCTCCAGAAGCAGCCTCCCAGATCCGGGACCCCCCCCGCAGAGAACACTGGCAGCCAAAGGGGGCCGGCAGGCGTGAGCCGCGAGGGTCAACGCTGATAAGCATGTGCCGGTTGATCTCTCGTTCCGTCTCAGCAGCTTGGCCGGGTGCCGAACGGTGCATCGACGCGAGCCCAAGGTAAGCCCATCTTCTTCGGGGCGCAGGCGGGCGCCCTGAATGGTTTCGAGGGTGACCAACGCTTCAACATGCTGCAGAACCTGTTCAAGGCCCCTATCCTCCAGCCACCTCTCCTCTGTACCTCCGCTCTCTTTCGAACGGGGGCGCCACGCGCGCGGGACTAGCGGTGCCCCTTGGGCTCGCCTTCCCAAGCTGCGTGCTTTCCGATGGCCGGGCGCCATGTCGCTCTGGGACGCGACGAGCTCTTCGCAGAGCTTCCTCGCAGCGTCTTTCGGAGCGCTCTTAGAGCGGCCACGGCGCCTGTCTTCGCTGGCTCTCGGGGACCTCCGAGCCGAGTGCTCGCGCCCTGCTTCCACTCCTCGCAGCCTGCCCTCGGCCCTGGCGCGGGGCTCTGCCGCGCCCCTCCTCCCCGGACCGCGGCGCGCGAAGCGCGAAGCCAGACCCCCTGTGCTCGATGGGTCGCTCCCCCCCTCCCCCGCCGCACCCGGGCCACGCGCGGGGGGGGGGGATGCAGAAGGGGGGAAGGATGGCTTCTTAGAGAAGCACCCCTGGTTCTCACAAAGCGCGGGCCTTGTCTGTAGATGTCGGGCCGGCGATTTCTCAGAAGCGGCCTCCTTCGGAGAAGCCTTCCCCCCCTCCCCGTACCCCTTTGTGCGCGCCGCCCCACCCCGCCCGCCACCCTCAGCGCAGGGACCCCATGGAAGAGGAGGCAGTAGGGGGAGGGTCCCTACTGGGAAGCCGGGTGCACTGGCTGGCCCAGGCGAGCTCTGGATGCACATGGGGCCCTATTTCTCGAGCGCTCGGGCATCGGTTTGGTGATCTGTCGGCCGCTGGTCCCATGATCTGAATGCGTGGCTTCCTCACGTTCCGCATGTGAGTCTAGCTGTATCTGTGTGTGTGTGTTGCGTGTGCTTGTTCTGCACTTTGCCGTTATCGTAACCCGGTCCTGCTGGACCCGCGAGAGCGTCCCAGGGGCATTGGACGTTGGAGAACATGTGCGTGTGTGTTCCATCTTCCTGGTTAGCACTTCAGACAGGATTGGATTACTCAGGTTTGGTCGGAATGCTTCCTCTCGGAGGAGGGCCCTTGACCAGAGCTGGATTCTGGGGGAGCTCTTGACACTCTGCTGGGGAGGACCCGTCAGTTGTAGGGCTGATCGCTGCAGAGACCCATCCTTTGAGCACATCGCCTCTCGTGCACAAGGCAGCGCCACTCCCCCGCCCCTTGGCCTGGAGTCTATCCCGTCTCTGTCCCGCTTCAGGGCTGCCTCCTTGGGCTTTTCGCCGTTCGACCTCGCGTTTTGTTTCTGTGCTTGTCTTTGCTCCTGAGGGGAATCCTGCTTACGCCTGCCGCTTGTGTGGTAGACGCCTTAAGTTGTCCTGCTCTGGTGCTGCCGCAGCCGCTGCTCTGTGTAGCCTCAATTCCGTCAAGACCGCAATCAAGGTGTGTTCCAAGACCAGTGTCAGCCTCCATTCTTTGTTTTGGGGTACGGACCTGACTATGGCCCTTGCGATTGCGTCACAGCTTGGACTGCTTCCCCCCGAGGTCTACGACGACGCTGGGCTGTACAGCTTCAGTGATTGGGATGACATGGCATCTTGCGCAATTGGTAGTCATACATAGAAGTGCATGTGCGGATACCCCTGCGCGTGCCATCTTCTTGTAGCTTGGGCGTATCACTCCCCATGTATCCCGCAAGACGTGCTCATGGGCACCGTGGGTGTAGAGTAGCTGGTTATGTCACGTGGCCATTCAAGATGCCCGTCGTGTGAAGTCTAGCTTGCATCGCTTGGTTTGAGCTGCCGAGCTCTCAGACGCTCACCCACCTTTGCTGTTGTACACGCGCTGTGGTAGCAAAAGATGTTTGTTTACTTTGGCGTTTGCCGAGCGACGGCAATACGTGCCCGAGAGAGCTTTAAGAAGCTCCGTGTGGCCTGACCTTTCTCGCTGGTTTCAGTTCCCAGCCTCGCCTAGCCGCGTGCCATCACATCGACTCTCTCACTAATTGCCCTTGGCGCCCGTGAACCCATCATGATTCTTATGGTAACCGATATTTCTGTGAGCTGCCCGCAACGTACTCGGTGCTGGTGGTAAGTCTGCGAAGGCTCGCACCCCATGCATTCGCAATGCCATGCGCAAGTCTCGTCAATTCACCTAGATAAAATTGAGCTGGCGCAGCAGGGAATTTGCTCCGCCCTCCAAGCTGGAGCCAGCGCATCGAAATGCGTGGGTGGGTGGGGTGGGGTTGCTATTTCGCAGGGCATCAGATGCGCCTGGGTTCTTGCTCGCAGCGCAACGCGAACCCGAGCCATGCGGTCCTATCCTATTTGTCCTCGCACCGGATGCGCCCAGGTTCCTGATGTCTTGCAAAACGGTTCAGACACATGTAACCGCATGGCGCGTATTCTTCTTGAGCCGCCAGCAAGAACCTAGGCGCTCATGGTGTGGTAGAAATTTGGGTCTGGGCACCACCAGTTGGTTGTTGCAGCCCCTCCAAGAAGAGCGCAGGCGCGCGGCGCGCTGCGAAAACCGTTTCCCGCGCGCCTGCGGAACCGTGCTTCAGCCAGACGCGCAGCCGTTAGAATATCTACACTGCGCAGCCGCCAGGCACCTGCAGTAGGAACCCCCTCAGGAAGCCTTCGCGAAGCATTGACCACGGACCTTCCGCGGCAAAGGGTATGCGGGCGATAGCCCGAAGGGCTAGCAGTGACGAGTTCCCTCGCGCGACCGCGTCGGACATAACGATCAGCGAACATTGTGGTCAGCGAGCATTGCGATCAGTTCCCAGCAACCCATTGTCAAAGGGCCACCCAAACAACGATTTCTTGTTTTTTTCCTTCCGTTGGGTTCCTGAAGTCTCAAGAAGGCTTCTGGACCGCCCAAGATAGCTCTGAGAGGAGCACGGGACGGGCTCCAACACGACCCCGAATGTCCCCCAAGAGCATCATTGGGGGCCTCCATGAGATGCTTCTGCCTCCAGGGAGAGTGCCAATTGAGGACCGCCCTTTTTGATCGATGTTCTCCGGATGACTCCAGAAGGTTCTGAACGGCTCCCAAGAAGGCCATGCGAGAGCCTTAAGGGGACCTCACAGGCTCCACGAAGGGTCCCAATATCATTCCCAGATGGCTCCACGATGTCTCCAAAAAGTTCCCGGATGCCACTAAGTTTACAGTTGTCGGCCTTTCGGTGATGTGGTCTCTCGACAGTCGAGCATCTGGTCAAGAAACCTCCTCCCGAAAAGCCGGGCCAGCGTTTCCTACCCAACCTGCCGGAAAGTTGGTCTAGTTGTTTGAGTACGTTCGCCCTCCAGCGTTAAAACTAGAAGTTGGCCCAGGCTTGTTTCAAGAAATTTCCTGGACGCTGGCCCTGATGTTTTGACTGATACTGTTCGTTATCACATTGTCCATTGTATGCTTTTCTATGTTTGTGTATTTTCTTCTTCAAGAACTAGTCTAGGTATTGTTTTTTGCATGGGCATGGGCCGACGGGTAAGCGCGAGACGCCCAAATGCCAAAACCAAGGCCAGGTGTCGCAGTTGCCTCAGCTTCCCGATTGCAAGGATCTGCCCCACGAGATACATAGGGCCGGGCCACCGTATATGCGCCATGCGCGCTACTATACACCCCGACCCCGCCTCCACCCACACGTGTGCCGAAAGCTCTTCGCATAAATTCTGTCCCTGCCATCGGTTCGAGTTGTTGTTGCACGCGCGCTGTACCGACCTCTCTTTGAGGGCTCTCCTCTGAGCTCGTCCTTCATGTCCCCCCCATCGTTCTCTGGTCTCACTGGGGGTGCCTTCCGTGGGTGCGACCTTTCGCTGTTGATAAGTATAGTACGGAAACATGCCAGGGCGATTGTCTTTGAGCGTCTTCTTCATCGTGTGCAATTCCCACTCGTTCTGCTCAGGTTTCCTGTAGACATCCCGCTCCGAGGAGCGACACAATCAGACGTAAAAAGAGATGCGCTACGCGCAGGGTTCACCCATGTCTCGAACGTAGCGCACTAATCGAATAGCCTGCGGCCCATCCCGCCACCGTGCCTGGGATGCGGCGGGTCAGAGTCCTCAGGGATGCTTCTTGGGGTCTCTTGGTAGCGCTCTCGGAGGCCTCTTGGGGGCAGTTTTGGGGCTTCTTTGGAGCCTCTGGGGGGCCTGTTGGAAGCCTATTGGTGGCCTCTTAGGGCTTCCTGGGCGCCTCTTGGGGGCTCTTGGCTGCCTCTTCGAGGCCTCTTGGGGCCTCCTGGGGGCTTCCCGGGGCCGAGAGCTTGAAATGCCCATTCGGGTCCCCCGTCGGGCCCCCCTCTTGGAGCTGAATTTGGGGGCCTCTGGGGCCGCCTTGGGCGCTTCTTGGGCCGTTTTGGGGCCGCCCTCTTGGAGGCCTCTTGGGCCGTCTTGGGGCGATCTTGGGGGCTCCTTGTGCCGTCCTGGAGCGTCGGGAAGTCGAAAAGGCGAGAACGCCAAAATCGATCAAAAAGCCGAGTAGCAATCAATGCCTGTTGCCTCTTGGGGGGGCCTCTTGGGGGGGCCTCCTGGGGCGTTTAGAGGCATCTTCGGCCGTCTGGCGGCCATCTTGGGCGTCTTGGACCGATCGTTTGACGACTCGGGACCCTCTTCGGCCGTCGTCGGAGCCTCTCGGGGTCCTAATGGCCCGTCTTGGGGCCCTCTTGGCGTCCCAAATGCTCAGGTGACAGACCCCGGCAGGGCGCAGTAGCACCTGGGAGCGCCCGGAAAACTGGGGTCCGGGCCCTCTATCTCGCAGAGTTGCATGAGCCTTGGGTCACTCCACTACGTGCCGAAATCCCGGTGGCGGATCTGATACACGGGCAGGAGATATGTTACGCCTCGGGTTAGGCAATCAGGGGATTATAATATTATGTCAGGCGCCTTTCAGAATTTGGAACTGCCTCTGTAGCCTTAGTGGCGATTGGTCAATTCCAGAGCGGCACGTTTTTTCCTGTGACTGATGCGGCAAAAGTGTGTGGGGAGAGATCTGTGGACCACAGAAAAGGACTTGGATGTTCATAGTGCTCTTGACGCCTGGCTTGCATGCGACCATATGGGTTCTGAACGCTTCGTGCCATGTTGCTTCTTTCGTCCAGGTCTCCTGCCACGTTACGGTGATTATCACACCATCATATTTCAGCATATGCGTTCACGCGTACGCCGATCATGTTTGCAAGTTTGCCACCGCGTCAACAAGTACCAGTGTGAGACATCTTCCTGATGTGTCAGTGTTTGCTGTGAGCGATCGTTTTTTGTTTCTCTTTCTCTCTCTCTCTACATATATATATATAGATATATGTTTGTATAGATAATGATATATGTGCAGATATCTCCCTCTCCCTAGCCAGGAGGCCTCTTGCGTCTTGGTGGGCAGTCTGCTATTGGCGCCGCTGTTTGTGTACCTGCGGTGCACGGACAGAAGGCCCACGCCGTGTGCCCGAACAAGGTCTTGTACCAATGTGCGGGAAGTGGACGCACTTGTTCAGGTAAGAATCATGATGAAACATGTGTCACACCACAGCGCCCCAGCACAACGTAGCATTGCCTTCAGATAGCATTTCTTCGCCAGCGGCGGCTGCAACATTGATTTCACACGAAATTGATGGTACATTATCGTGCAACGGCGAACTCACTCATGCTGCGATCTTGCACGCACTCTTCTGTACAACCTATTACACTACAGGTGTGATCCGTTGCCCACTTCACATACTCAGCTTGACAATGTCTGTGAGAGTGATGCAGCTTTGGCCATAGCGAGAGCACGGACTTGCAACCCATCGAAGAGCGTATCGGTTTTTGACGTGTTGATATATCACAGTGTCACGTCTTTGTGCCCGGTCTTGTCTTCATATCGTTGCACTCTATGCTTGTTCTGTTGATTATTCACACGTCTTATTCTGATGTGACTGACCATCCCTGCACCCCTTTTCATCGTTGCTCGTCTTTTATTCCTTCTGCTTTTTTCCGCCCCCTTGTCCTTCTGCCACTGCCCATTTGGCATTTTCTTCTCCTGTCGCGCTCCCCCCTGTGTGCTACATCACAGACCCTCCTGGCCTGTTGATGCTCCCTCTGCGTCCATGTCCACAACCGCATTCACATTTCTCATTGCAGGTTTTATGCGATCGCTGACTGATTGACCTGAGGTATTAGGTATCGCATACGTAGTTCCTAATCGCCTGATCAGCACGGATCGGCCACATGGCGGATCGGTCGCGTGATTGGCTTACGATCTTTTTGGTCTCCGCTCGCGTCGAGAATGGAACGATGAGCCGGGTCGCTTGGCTTGTAGGCCACTCGATTGACGCCGAGGTGATCCATGCGATACGATTGTCTCGCCTGCCTTAGCGTTGTCCGAAAGAGCGCCCAGAGACACGGAGGCCCTTGCCGGTGCCCCGCATGCGGTCTGCCGACGCCATCCTCTCCTACGCAGGCCTGCCAGCCCCTCAGCGTGATCTGCGCTCACCTAGGCGGCCCCATCCCTCTGTGCACCCCTCAACTCTGCTTCTGGAAGTGGATCTCTGAGCAGGGCCCTCGATTTCCAAGAGCCTTCGGAAGAGCTCTGGACCAGGTGCCTCCCAGCGGCATGGAGAAAATGGGTGCCGACGACACTGGGACCCAGGTCCAGGGGTTTTCCGCGTGGACCGGTTTGTTCTCCCGAGCTTTTGCTCGACGGTCCCAGGGCATCTGGAAGGTTCCAGGGGGCCGAAATCGGCGAAACATTTCTAGGAACCGTTCCATGTGTCTGGCGACATGAGAGGGCCCGGGGCGCCGACTCCCGGCTCGAGGCTGGCCCGCTTGTGCAGAGGGGGCGCGGGGAAAGTCTTCTCAGGGGGACGATGTTTTGTCCTGGCCCTCGCACCTTCCGTTTGGCAAAAGGCGAGGCAAGTATGAAAGCATGCGAGCAAGAGAGTTCGGCGCGGAGTTCGTCAGAGGGGAACTTTGGCGATATGGTCGCGGTTGTTTCCTCCTCGGGCATATTGAGTAGGCGGCGGCGCTTTGTGTGTCGGTCGCTCAGAGGGGGGGGGGGCTGGTTTCGCCACGGTTTCCCACGGTTCAGCCAATGCCCACCCAAGAAATTAACAACTGCTCAGGATTCAGGATTTCCAGACCGTCGCGGCGTGGGTTGGTACGGCAGGCACTTCTGCCGAGGTGCCGTCCTGTCAGCGGATCCCCAACGGATATCTCTTCTTACCTCAGCTGCTTGTCTGCAAGGGTCTTATATGATTACTCCAATCAGCCGAGTGCGGGGAATGCGGGGATCGCCGCTTCTGGAATCGGTCGGGCGCTCTGGCCGCCAGTGGCCTCCCGTGGCGTATGGTGTCCCATGGCCTGGTGTCCTGCCTGGTCTCCCTGATGGCCCCCCGTATCGTCTCCCAGACATGGTCTCCCGGCTGGTCTCCCGTATGGTCTCCACAGATTGTCTCTCGCATGCGCAGCACAGTGTAATGTTGCATGTGATGCTTAGTGTTCTGTTTATGTCCTCGTGAGTATGAATCTGCGGAGGATAACGAACGATATCATGCGGAGGGGAAGGAGGAGGATGGAGAAGGTGTCCAAAGCGGGGATCAAGCGCTGCCCTCTGAGGTCCTCTGAGCTTCCCCAGGGAGAGGGGGAGGGAGACTGAGTTCCAGGAGGAGGAGGATTTTTTTGGGCCACGTTTGACCGAACCAGTAACAAAGGGGCCGCACAGCGGCCCGCCAGACTGAGCGGTAGCGAGGGGCAGGAGACCACAGCGCACCCCTCCCAAACGGGGAGTGGGCCTTGGCCAGCCGCCTCTCGACTCGTCTCAGTCCGAGGATCCCGAATCAAGGTCATCTTGGACCTTGCCTGCGACCTGGGGAGCGTTGTCCACCCCTCCTCGCGAGGGGTCCGCTCGATCGAGTTCGGACCTGGGATCTGAGTCGAGGGCGGGGCACACCGCATGGGGCGACTCACCTCCCTCAGAACAAAACTGCGCAGCTGCGTCCACTGCGATCGCATCGCTTGGCTCGGGGGCAAGTCTACCCGACGTCGCCTCAGCCGAAGCCTGACCCACGACTCCACCACCCCCTCCCAGCTCCACCGCCCTCGCTTCCTTCGCAGCAATGCGAGCTCGCAGAGCCGCCAGCCTATCAATATAGCTGGCATGAGCTGGAATACGTACAGACCTGACCGCCTGTTCGCATGAATTCGCTTCTTGCAGGCTGAGTGGAGCTTCGTGCTCCGCGCATGTCACTGACAGCTCTTTCTTGGGATGCAGTCCTTTCCGCAGTCTCCTGAGAGCCGTCGTTCCAGCGCTGCTCCTGTCCTCGTCCATACGGGGCTGGCGGCAGCGCTTAGCTAACTTGAATATCCCATGCTGGGCAAAATAACCACACAGCATGCAAAAGAAGAGTGGCTTCGACTGGTTAGCCACCTGAGTTGAGGGCAACTGATGGCCATGCCGAGGGGACAGAGTCAAAAGCTCCTTAACCCTCGCGGGGAAACCCGAACAACCCGCCTCAGGTCTCGAGTCCTTCGTTCCACTGTAGAAATTCAAACAACTAACGCATCTGGAGCCCCAAAGCCAGGGCTCCCAGGAGTGCCAGCCATCGTTCTTATCAAAAAGTTTGACGGGGCGCTCTTTTGTCGGTGGCCGCTGGTGTTGGACCCTCGGAAACAGTGGGAGGATCCCCGCGGCAAGGCGAGCGACTGTTTGGAGATGCTCCACCGCATTGTTGACCGCCTCTACCTCCGCAGCAGACGGTTGCGGGTGTAGTCGGAGAGCCGTCTTAGCTACTAAATCCGCCTGCCAGTTGGCCTGACCTACCCATCTTTCAGGGGCGGGGAGCGCATCAATGACTCTCAGCTCTCTGTGCGCTGGGGTATAAACAGCTGGGGCATACTTGTTATTAACCATGTGCTGTAACGCTCCTCTGCGCAGGCCCGCATACTTGTGTTTGTGACTGAGTTGCTGCTGGGGAGTGCTGTTGTGTAACCGAACAGCGTTCATGCAGTCACTGTAGCATGCTTCCCCGTGCCTCGGCGCGAAAATCGACAAAAAGGCTCAGTTGCAGCTGCTCTGCCGCCTGACTCGTCTGCGGGAGCGACGGCCAGACCGTGCCCTTCGCCGTCGCCACCTGCTGACCCTCGGGCCCCATGAAGACCCACGAAAACGATGCCCTGGACAGCTCTTTGATGGTATGCGGGGTGCAGGTTCCATCTCCAGACACACTCAAACCCGTGGTGTCGAAATCGTTCCATGACAAAGGCGACCCGTCCGCAGTGAACAGCATGGGCTCGTGCTCGTCGCTTGGTGGCGGCCATGAACTAGCAGGGTGGCGAAACTTGAGTCCTGTGTAGAACTCACTGGGGCCATCCTGCGCCTGCTGGTAAAACAAATCACTGGCCTCAACGGCCGATCGGGCGGCGCGCGCCTCAGGACTACCCACGCAGTGATACAATCTATGTTGCAGCGAATCGGGGCGACTGCAAAGGGGGCACAATCACGAGGATAAATAGCCAGCCTTGGCGGCCCGATCTTCACACCAACACCCATCACATAACAAAGACTTAACAATCTATTTACCTTGAGCGTTGAGCCCACTACCCTTACCCAACGCTTTAGTGATGCGGCGTATCGGTTCAACACACACACACGTTCCCCCTCCCCCCAACCGAGCTTTTCGGCCAGGGACCTTTCATGGCGCCTCTGAGCCCCTTCACGGAGGAGAGCTCCTAACATCGAGGGGGAATTCTATAAGAGCGAGAGCTCGTTTCCCTTGTCATCCTTCCACATAAGCGGGCCCAGGGCCTCCCACCCAATGCGCTGAAGGGACAGGAACATACGGCGAATGGGGCCCCCCGAGTTCTTCCACTTGAGACCGTCCTGCGGCACCGCCAACCGCATGTTGCGCAGCTCGGGAAGTGTGAAGAAGGCGAGCGCGGGCTTAGTTGTCGTCTGCCACACGGCAGCGGCCCAGGCTAAGGCGGGCGCGACCATGCTGCGCCAGACTGGATCTCCAAACAGCACAGTCTTCGCCTGGGCCGAGACTCCCGCACGAGCGGGTGTGGAAAAAGAAAGCATAACCGACCTGATCTTCTTGAGCTCAGCGTCGCTGCAGCCCGTGACCGTGTCCCCAAAAGACACCGCAGGTCTGGCCCCCGCAGCGTAGATCTTCCCAATCCTACTTTTGTCCCTGGGGAGGGCCCTTCTCGAACGTTTGAGCTTACGATGCTTGCGAATCATATCAGCAAGTCTACCTTTCCTCTTGCTGCAAGCCTGCTTCACACTCCTCTTAACCCCAGGGGCCAGATCAACTCCAAGGGATACCACATGGTTCCCACAGTGCCAGCCAGGGTTCCGAGGCGACGTCCTGTCCGCAGCGACAGAACAGGCGAGGAGACAAAAGTCAACAGTTTGTCGGCAGCCAGTCCGACTCCCAAATCGTCTTGCAAAAAAAAACAAGGTGAAGGTCATCGGCAGCTTTCTCCAGCACCTCCACGACATGGTCGGGGCTTCCATAGGCGGTGACCGTATCATCGTCAACGTAGGATGCCAGGTCCACATCGCGGTTGCGCGCGAGAAATTTGTCGAATGGCTCGAGCACATAAACCTTAACATTGATGGCATTGAAACACGACCCCGCAGGCAGCCCGCACGAAGCATAAAGCGGGACGACACTGTGATCCGTCCCAAGACGGAGAATGCGCGGGCCGCAAAAATTGTAAGTGACCTTGACCACCACACTCGGCAGGCCCGCAGCCAGCGAGCGATCTCTGAGCGTGGTCAATCGGAAGGACTCGTAGTACTTAGATCCGTCCCACGAAAAACCTCCCGTCACATTCCCTTTTCCAACATGAGCTTCCGCCTTGACAGCCTGGTTCCAGATGCTTTGCTCCGCCGACTTCCCCGCGCCGAACGCCCAATGCCTTCTGGGGTGTCTGGCCTCAAAATCCTGGACCATGGGGCGCCTAGCTCTTTCCCACGGCCTAACAGGGGCCGCGCAGAGCAAAACGGGTCGAAGCCCACCCCCGGGTTTTTCCAGGAGGGGGAAAAGCATCCAGTAAACGGCCTTCGGGAAGACTCTGATCTTCTCGATCGTCTGGAACATGCGCGCGAGGGCCGCAAGGCCAGCATCGCACAGCATGCCATAGCGTCTGATGTGCACGCCATCCAGACTCTGAGCCGTGTGAGGACTGAACGTTTTACAGAGAGCGCGGATATCTTCTGGCCTCAAGCGCTCAAAACACTGCCTGTCCAGCACCTCGAGTGGCTCAGGGCTTGGGGACGCCTTCCAATAGGACCCTAACACGTCGGCTTCATTCGCGAGCAACTTGCGCGGGTCGGCCGAAAAATCACCAGGAGACGTTTCGATGATCGTGGGCAACCGTTTGGGTTTTAACCGAGAAAGCTTATGCATCTTCCGCGCCGACCCCGATAACGCCTCGCGCTGCCACTGATCCCAGCTCACCTTAGCACGCGCGTCGAGGCCCGATCGGGCGCTGTCGAAATCTTCGCCCCAATCATCAAGAGCTTGCGTGATCTTTTCGAGCCAATCATGCAGATGGCCTCTGTCCTGAGGCCGAGGCAAAACTAACTGCCTGGCAGCGCTGACCGTGGCGTCCAGCCTCGCGGACAGGCCCTCCCCATGAAAGGGCTGCTGGGTGATGCTGCAGATGTTAAACACAGCCTGGATGTCCTGGTTCACATTCATGACACGGTTCCCATGCACTCGCACGGCCGTGCATTGGAGATCTCTGAGGTTTTGTTGGAGCCAAATCCAACCTTCGCAGACCAGTTCCTCATCCTCGGGGTTCCGTCTGGGTTTAGTAAAAACCGAGACCCACTTCGCCGACGGCGGAAGCCCCTTGAGGCCTTTGTTCTTGATCGGGGTGTCCAACTTACCTTCCAACTCGACCTCCATGACATCCGAAAAAAAAAAAAACGCTTCCACGCGGCAGAGAGCAGTTCCCACGCCACAATCACCGAATCAACGCTGGCAGCTTTGTTAGCTTCTTCGGCAAGGGCCCTGGGGACCTCCCAACACGGCGGCTCGGGGGAAGGACCGAAAGGGGGCTCCCTAGGGAGCCTCTTATGCGTTTGGTATATCAACTGCTTGACCCCGCTAACACCTGCCTTGAACTGCAACTGCACAGGCTTGTGCGGGCGGTGCGGCCACGTCGCGATGGTGGAGGTCTTATCGACCAACTTCGCAACCGCTGGCGACACCACGAAATAGTCAATGTACGGATTAGCCGCTGCCGTGGCACATGTCTCGGCTGGTGGCTGCAGGATGACCATGTTTGCTCTACGTGGTAACCCCGACAACTCGACAATCGACGACTGCATGTTCCAATCCGCTCCGAAGATGGCCAGGTGCTGGCCCTCGAGGGCCTCGCCCACATCCTTCAGAATCTTCAGGATGCGCTTCGAAAGGCCCTCGGAGTCATGGAAGTACCCACAAGCCGCCGCCACAGGTTGAGGCCATTGCGGGATGTCGAGCTCAACAACAATCAGGCGGTGCGGCACTAGCACCCCACGTGGCAGCCGACATGGCCATCTGAGGCCCATAGTGGTCCTCGCAAATATCGCCACACCTGCTGAGAGTTGCCCACGGCCAGCGAGAACAGAGAGCGAGCAGAGCATGTGCCATCCCATCGCCAGAGCTTTGGCCGTCTTATCCCCCTGGGTCTCGTCCGTGATACCTATCTCCTGGGCGAAAAGGACCAGCGCTTCCGAGCGCCTGAGTCGTTTCTCGAGAGTGCCCCAGCTGTTCCCGTTATAACACTCAAAAACCTGCCCTGGTAGGTCATCGGCCTTGAACGAAGCAGGCGTGGGAGGACAGCCTGTCCCGAACTTAGAAACTTTGAAACCCGTGCAGAGTGGCTCCCCGACGTGGGGCTTTGCTCTGCACATGCTGGACGCGGCCCCGTGGCTGCCTCCACCAGGGCCGACAGTCCCGTTGCTCCAGGCTGTTTTTCTTACCGCACCGTTCGCCAGGTGGGGGCGAGAAGCCGGCGACGCTTCGCCAAAACGGGCCTCGCGAGAGGCCCCCGACAAGACACAAAACGACTGGCCTTGCTCCACCGCAGGAGCCGTTCCATCACAAGAAAATTGCGCCTGGGCCCCCACTCTGGAGGCCCTCAGTACATGCCCGCTTTCATCGTCAAGAACCCGAAGTTTTCGCCCTCTTGAACGCTCCTGACGCCAGCGCCTGGCAGATAGCCCGCTTGTCTCCACGATGCTCATCCCAGAACTTCTCTGCCTCTGCGTCGTCCGCAAAGCCTTGAGGTAATTCTTCGTCATCGTCGTCATCCTCGGGGACAGCAGGAGGAGTAGCAGTGCCATCAGGAGGCTGGTCCTTCTGCAGCTGCACAATGAGGGACGCGTACTCCTTGAAAGCCTGGCTCTCCAGCATCGTCTTGATCTCCTCCTTACCCTGGAGCAACTCCGTGGGGACCTCGGATCAGCCTTGACATGTGGTACACCACGAGGAATAGATGCCACCAGCTGCTTCTGGAGGGCCTCAACTTCGACCGCTGCAGCCCGACGTTTGGCCTCCAGCTCGTCCCGCTTGGCGGTTGCCTCCTTGATGGCGTCATTCTGAGACTCGACATCACACGTGAGCTTTGCCAACTGCTTCTCCGCCCTGGCCAGACGGTGACCGACGTTGGTGCGCTGCGTGATGTCACTCTTTCTTGGCCTCCAGCTTGGCCCGCACATCGTGCAGCTGGGTGACCAACAACTCCTTCGCGGAGGATATATGCTCCTTGCCGCACGCCTTGATGGCCTGCTCGAGCTCCGCCGCCTGAGCCACCAGGGGGTCCTCCGGTTGCTCCGTTGATTCTCCTCCTGGGCTCGGACCACTCTTGCCGCCGCCATGGCCGCCGCCCTGGGGAGAGGACTTGAGCAGTAGGTCGAATCGCTTGGTGATGTCTGCCAGTTGCTTCTCCCGCTTCGCCTGGCGCTTATATCCGAGCACGTGTGACCCAACACCACCACCACGAGGACCAGCAGCATTAGAGCTCGCCCCATTGCCGAAAGTCTTCGCTCGATCCAATACATGCTTGGGCGCTTTTTGACCGCATTGACACTGCACTCTGCACGCCCAGTTGCTGGTTCTTCCGCACTTCTGGCAGCCCCAATATGGCGTCCTCGGCCCTTTGACGACTGCATCCATGCTTGGCTCCCTCTGGAGCCGGGTACGAATGCTCCATCAGGGGCTCCCAAATACAAAACACTAAACGAGCCAAAGGCCCGCAACAGCACTTGGCCGTTTCGAAGAGGCATGCTGTTGCAAGCTCCGAAAAATTTTGAGCCGAAACGGCTCAGGAGGAGGAGGAGGAGGAGGCGGAACGACCTAAGTCGGTTCGCGTTTTTTTGACACAAGAGCGCTACTGGCCGTGCTCATGGGTTTGCCTAACATTGCCGGCCAGCGAGGGGGGAAGTGAGAAGGGGCGGGCCTTCTCAGAAGGCTCGGGAGCCCCCAAGCCTTCTGAGAAGTTTTCTAAGCCGTTCCCGAAGACATACACAACCTGTCAGAAGGCCAGAGGGCTTCTGAGAAGCCCCGCCGCTTTCTGAGGAGGCCTCCTCCTTCTCGCTTTCCCCTCTCGCTCGCCGCCGAAATAGTAGAGAATGAGCGCAGAAGTGGGCCCTCTAAGGGGGGGATGACACGTGGGGCCCTCAGAGCTTCCCCGCCGCGCCTGACCGGGGGGCGACAGGTTTCCAGGCTGCTTGGGCCCAGAGTGTCATGAGGGGAGCAGGGAGGTGGGGAGGCAGGAGGGGGGGGGCGGAGAGGGGGGGCGGAAAGGGCACAAAGAGGAGAACATTCGCTCTACTTGCGCAGCTTCTCTCGCCTGTCCTACGTTCTGTTCAGCGCTGCTGCCGCACGGTATGCTTTTTGTCCTCTCGCACTCGTCCTCGTGGGATTTTTGTTGCGCCCGTTCCTGTAAGAGTTCGAGTTGATGAGGAACGCACCAGCCCCGCCGCTGATGCTGCCCGAGGGTCGAAAGGCACGGGGAGGGAGCAGGTCGGTCGCGATGGCGCAAGAGGGTGTGGCGCCGACGTTCGCCGAAGAGGGAGAAGTGCGGAGGGAGGAGATGGCAGAGGGAAGCGGGTGGCCGGCTGGGAGCCCCAGGGGCTGATCATAGGAGTGTGCGGGCTCGCCAGCTCGCAGAGGGCTCCGCGAGCGGCGCGAGCTGAACGGGCAGTTTTGCCGCGATGAGGACACGCTAGAGAGGTAGGCTCGGGTCCTTTCAGCCCCCCTGGGTATCGTAAACTGGCTTCTGGGCACATAGGGAAATCTCGTACGTATCTCGCACTGGACGACCGACTGGGTCGGCTGCTCGACCAATGTTTTCCGCTGTGGATCCCAAATGGTGGGGTGTTGCGTTCTTGATGTGCACGCTATGTGGTGCAATATATGTGGCGCAAGGTATGCGCTGCAAGCTATGCCTTGAACTCCTATGCGGTGCAAACTCCAGTGGAGACCCATGCCAAGAGACACCCTGCTTGCCTCCAGGGTTTCTTGGGTTTCGATGGTTTTGCGATGGAAGGCGTGACGTTCCCACACCAAACATCAATGGTTATCAGCATCATCATCATCATCATCATCATCATCATCATCATCATCATCATCATCATCATCATCATCATCTTTATCATCATCATCATCATCATCATCATCATCATAATCACCACCACCATCATTATCAGCATCTCCCTCCTCGTCATCATCATCGTCAGCATCAGCATCGGCATCATCGTCATCATCATCATCATCATCATCATCATCATCATCATCATCATCCTCATCCTCATCATCATCATCATCATCATCATCATCATCATCATCATCATCATCATCATCATCATCATCATCCAGTGGGGGATCCAGTGCCCAGTACAGCTGGTGATGGTGTCTTGCGGGAGGCGCTATCTTCGTCTTCACCACACGTTTCATCCACGCTCGCTTTCATCTCCCTCCCGCCCCCCTCCCGGCGGCTGCGCTAAGGCAAGAGCATACCACAGAGCAGCGGCAGCCCTCCATCCTGCGCGACGCGCGGGTGGGCCGGGTCGCGAGTCAGCGGGCGCCGCCCCTTGCGATGCAGGAGGCGGCGCACGCCTTGTGGCCCCCCTCCGTTCGGCAGCCCCCTGGCCGCCTTCACTTTCAATGGGGGTATACGAAGGACGAACATGCTCGCGGGGTGCGCGCGAGACGGGCCGTGGCTTCGCGGCGATTGATTGAGCGATTGAGCGTAAGGAGCGCAGCCAATTGGACCTTCTTCTGGTGGCCCCTCGTGCGGCCCCACTCGTCTGGCTGCCTAGTCCTCTGGAGAGTCTTTGCGATGGGGCTGGCCTTCGGAGTGTCTACCCTTAGTGCCAAGTGTCGCCGATATGCTAGCCAGCGCGGGCCCCCAAGAGTAGGCTCCTGCACTCCCCGTGTGCAGTCTGAGTGGTGCAGCCTGTCTGTGATGCACACTGTATGTGCTGCAGTCTGAGTGGTGCAATGCATGTGGTGCGAATCACTTTGACCGCATCCTCGCGTTACCACCTCTCATGGCCTTGCACACATCTCAATCACCCACCCGCAGCTCGTTGACCAAATCCGGCTGGATTATGACGATGACGACGATGATGACGATGCTGATGAAGATGATGATTTTGGAGGATGAGGAGGGTGACCGTGAGGATGATGATGATGGTGATGGTAATGTTGATGCTGATGATGATGATGCTGGCTTTGATGGTGATGATGATGATGGTGGTGATGATGATGCTGATGATGCTGAGTATGATGATGGTGATGATTGATGGTGATGGTAATGCCGATGATGAAGCTGCTGCTGATGATGATAAGGATGAAGGTGATGATGATGATGCTGATGCTGATGACGATGATGATATTGATGATGATCATGATGATGGTGGTGGGAAGGACGATGACGACGGTGCCGACGGCGACGGCGATTGTAAACGTGATGAAGCTGACGGTGATATTCCTGACGTTGGAAATTATGACGCTGGCGATGCCGACAACGATGGTTCTGGTGATGGTGATGAGGAGATGCGACGACATCGACGATTCTGACGATGTCGGCGATGGTGACGGTGACGACAACGATGGTGATAACTATGACGATGACATTGATGACGCTGGCGATGATGATCGCGGTTGTACTGATGAGGATGACGAGGAAGCGCTCGCTCGTATACATTCAGACCGACGTTCATACGTTCCCAGGCCGAAGCGTGTCTCCTTGGCATGAGGAGCTCGCTAGAATCTTCAATGGGTGCGCAAGTCTTGTACAACCCACTTCTACCTCCTGAATTAAGTTTGTTCTTGAGGGAGCCTCGTGTATACCAAGCTTGCATTTGAGTAACCGAAGAAAAGCAAATAATATCGTGGATCAACGGGTTATGAAAACAGTGCCGCCGTGGATCTGCAGACCAATGTTATACGTTCACGGGGCAAAGGGTTTCTCACCCATCAACATGACGCACGAGGAGGGTTGGAGGATGAAGAAGAAGGCGCTGAGGAGGAGGGGGATGAGGAAGAACAAGAGGATAGGGATGTTCAGGCATCTCTGGCGCAAGAGGCTATGCTGCGTGCCTGAACACCTCTTTTGCCGATGTGCCTGGACACCTCTGTGATGCAATGCTTAGACTCGCAATGGTTCTTTACGGATTTCGACGTGCGCGCAGATACGCGAGCGTGCGGCTTGAATTATTTAATGTGGCAAAGTTGGCGTGCGTGCGATAGTTGCCGAATGATTGACAGCGTGCTCTTCATTGATCGAATTGCCAACAGCCGTTGTTTTGTTGTGGTGATTTCAGCGGGTGCGCGAGCGCAGAAACCTGGCATCTCGTTGCGGAGGAACACCATGCGTTTACATGGTTAGACAGCCAACGGTTTTGGACTGATGTTGCAAGCTCGCGCGGCGGCGCGCGCATGTGCCCGCATATCATGACTTGCGCAAGTGTTTTTTCGAGAAATTCACGTCTTAGATGCACGCGCACTGCATCCTATTATGTGACAGGGATGACGGGGGAGGGGGGGGGGACATGTTGGACTATTTGGTGCGGGAACGCGTGGCGGCCCGCTGAGGTAGAACGAACATGGGATCCAAGCTTGCTGGTCCTTGGGCTTCCCTTTGTACTTGTCCTTATCCTTTCCTTTGTTGTCTATGCCTGCGCGCACTGCGCTCGCTGGTGCCCTCGCTTCTCGCGAAGAGACCGCAGCGCAAAGCTCGGACAGCTCCGCCTGCCGCACCTTCAGAGCATTTTACCTAACAGCGAAGACTGATAGGTTTCTAGTTGACTCAAAAGAGCTCACAGATCACTCCACAGGGGGGTCCGGGCAGGTGTTGGGAGTTGCCGGGCGGCAGGTGCCGGGCTCGTTTTTCGCCAACAGTCACACACTTCGTGCTCTTCGATTTCCCAGAACTCCATTCCCAGGCCACATTCTGGAGGGCCGAATGCAACAGTCACACACTTCGTGCTCTTCGAGTTCCCAGAACTCCATTCCCGGGCCACATTCTGGAGGGCCGGATGCAACAGTCACACACTTCGTGCTCTTCGAGTTCCCAGAACTCCATTCCCGGGCCACATTCTGGAGGGCCGGATGCAACAGTCACACACTTCGTGCTCTTCGAGTTCCCAGAATTCCATTCCCGGGCCACATTTTGGATGCCCGGAGCCAACTGTAGGCCACTTCCTGGTCTTCGAGTTCCCAGAACGCCATTCCCGGGCCACATTCGGAATAGCCGGACGCAACAGTCATACAATTCCTCGTACTTGACACCCCAGAACTCCATTCCCGGGCCACATTCTGATTAACGGGATGCAACAGTCACACATTTCGAGCTCTTTGGCATCCCAGAACCCCATTCCCAGGCCACATTCGGAATAACAGGATGCAAGAGTCACACACTTCGTGCTCCGAGACCTCCCAGAACGCCACTCCCAGGCTACATTTGGAAAAATCGCACACAACAGGTATACACGCCGGGCTATCTGGCTGTCTGGAACGGCAATCCCGGGATACATTCAGAGTAATCCCACGCGACAGTCACACACTTTGTGCTCTGTGACCTCTCAGAACTTCATATCTGGGCGACACTCCTGGGCAACACTCGTTCTCTCACTATCATGCAACACTCATACACAGTGTCCTTGTCGACCTGTCACATCTCAACTTTCAATTCCCTGACACAACCGTCACACACACACACACTGATTTCTCTGAGTTTTCACTAGGTTAGTCTCGGGTAACATTTTATATTCCTTCCGCGACAGCCGTGCTTGGTTCAGGAGTTGCTAGTGACACTGCAGTCCATTTCACTCAACGTGCCTCGTCACCAGAGTTTCGATAGCAATGTCTCCTTTGAACAAGCATCTATTCATTTTCCACGCGTTGATAGCAGTGTCTCGTTTGGACATATATCTATTCAAGTTCCGTGCGTTGATAGCAGTGTCTCGTTTATACATGTAGTCATTCAAGCGACATGCGTCCATGGCAGTACCTTGTTTGACAACACATCGAATCAAGCTCAGCGCGACGATGACAACAGCTTTTGCATCACTATTACTGTTACTGTTGGTATCACAGTGCCTCTCACTGCTGCTGCATGTTTCAGTTATACTTAGACACATCGCTGTTAGGTTGCTTTGCCGGGATAATTTACCTAACAGCGAAGACTGATAGGTTTCTAGTTGACTCAAAAGAGCTCACAGATCACTCCACAGGGGGGTCCGGGCAGGCGTTGGGAGTTGCCGGCCGGGCCTGTGCCGGGCTCGTTTTTCACCAACAGTCACACACTTCGTGCTCGTCGACCTCTCAGAACCCCATTCCCAGGCCACATTCTGAATAACCGGATGCAACAGTCACACACTTGGTGCTCCTTGACCTCCCAGAACTCCATTCCCGGGCCACATTCTGAATGCCCGGAGCCAACTGTAGGCCACTTCGTGCTCTTCGACTTCCCAGAACTCCATTCCCGGGCCACATTTTGGATGCCCGGAGCCAACTGTAGGCCACTTCGTGCTCTTCGACTTCCCAGAACTCCATTCCCGGGCCACATTTTGAATGCCCGGAGCCAACTGTAGGCCACTTCGTGCTCTTCGTTCCCAGAACTCCATTCCTGGGCATGATTTTGAATGCCCGGAGCCAACTGTAGGCCACTTCGTGTTCTTCTAGTTCCCAGAACTCCATTCCTGGGCCACATTTTGAATGCTGAAGCAGGCTGATGCTGCGGCCGAGGCAGGCTGAGGCTGAGGCAGGCTGAGGCTGAGGCCGAGGCTGAAGGCAGACTGAGGCTGAGGCTGAAGCAGACTGAGGCTGAGGCTGAGGCAGGCTGAGGCTGAGGCTGAGCAGGCTGATGCTGAGGCAGGCTGAGGCTGAGGCTGAGGCTGATGCAGGCTGAGGCTGAGGCAGGCTGAGGCTGAGGCCGAGGCTGAAGGCAGACTGAGGCTGAGGCTGAAGCAGGCTGAGGCTGAGGCTGAGGCAGGCTGAGGCTGAGGCTGAGGCTGAGGCTGAGGCTGAGGCTGAGGCTGTGACTGCTGCTGCCGTTGCCGCTGCGACTGTCATCGCGAATGCGACTACGACTGCGAGAACAGCAGAATTCTACAACTGGATTTTCATCTGAATCTTAAGGGGAATGCTTTCAGATATGCTTCTACACATCGCTGTTAGGTTGCTTTGCCGGGATAATTTGGCTTGCTGTGGTCTGAGACTGGCACTGGCGATGTTGTCGTGCAAAGTTCCAGTCCGTCGGTCGGTGAAAGTACCTCGATCCTGCACTACACACCCTACTATGCCGCGTACTTCTGTCCAGCCGTCTTGTCGGCCCCGCTCCCCTTCAAGGGAGGAGGAGGAGGAGGTATCGGTATCGCTCCACTGAGTCCAAAGGACGGACGGACTAGGGAGAAGTTCGGGGTACCCCCCTCACACCAAGCTCTCGGCTCTCCACACCTGGAGGGCGCCCGCGACGGTGCCTTTCGGCAGACGTCGGCGCACGGCCAACCTCTCCCAAAGTGGCTCCTGCGCCTCGGCAGAAAAAAACTCAAAACACAGGATCGCAGTATCCACCCGCAGATCCTTGATGGCAATCGTGAGCCTGCGACACAAAAAAACACGTTTTTTTTTCTGCGCGACTAACTAACAACGGAGCTGGGACCGCTGGCCTCTTGCAACAAAAGTATCAAGACACAAAGCACTGTCTGCTGCTCAGACGTGGCATCACTGTACGAGTCACAACTTGAACATGAAGCTGTCGGGCGCGCCCATGTAGTGCCCCCCTCTGGCCATATCGCGTATTCATTATCTAACGCTCACTTCATCGCAGTGTAGATGTCGGACACCTTGAGCGCAATCTGCGTGGTGCAGGCCTCCTCGAAAAAGGCGGTGCCACTGGGAGCAGAGACGCTCGTCTTGAGTCCAGCTTTCTTCTCAGTGGTGCCGTCATCGACGGCGAGACGCCTGCAGTCCTGAGTATCTGGGTAATCATCAGCACGTTACTGGCCTAGTTGACCAAGGCTGCCCATTGCGGCACGAACATACTTAGAGCTCGAGAATATGTTCTTCCAATGGTACGTGGAGGAGGAGGAGGAGGAGGAGGAGGAGGAGGGAGGACGGAAGCAGGCAGGAGGGAAGTCTTGATCCCTGCCGATCTTGGGTCAGGCGCGAAAGAAGGACGCGCATGCACACGCATCCACGCGAGGCTGGCCTCGCAGACTGGGGGGCCGTGTTCGTGTACGCGGCTTGCCGCGCACGACCTTTGTGGGCTCCCCTCGGCGGCGAGCGAGGGGAGGGGGACGCGAGAAGGGGAAGGCCGCCGTGCCAGGCCGCCCCGCAGCTGCTCGGCGGCCCACCCGTGAGCGCCGTGCCGCTGCCGCCGCCGAGGTGGGCGGCCCCCGCAGGCCCCGCCGAGCCCATCCCTCGCAGGCGAAATTTTGCCTCCCCCCCCCCCCGGTCCCGCCGTCCCCGAGCTCCGCCCGAAAAGTCTGGCAGCTCAGGAAGGGCCCGAGGGGGAACTCTGTGGGACACACCCCCAGGGGGCTATCCGGACGCACCCCCATCGAGGATGGACGCCCCCCCCCCCAAGTATACCCCAGGGTTGGACCCACAACTTTTGGTCCAGTCGATGGCCCCCCAAAGGTCGGGGATTGGGGTTGCCAGATTTCCCGTTAGTCTCCGAGGCGGCGGTTTATACATGAAACCACCGCCTGGAGGATCAGTCTTCGGGGACCTCGGCAGGCGGTGGACGTGGATTCTTCTCAGGACCCCTGGGGCCCAAACATGTCCGCATCCACCGCCCGCTAGGGCCCCAGGACTGCGGCTCCCCCAGGCGGTGGACCTGGATGCATCCCCGCCTGGCACCATCATCTCTCGCGCCGCTCCCGGCAGCCCGCTGGTCCAGGCTTTCAAACAGGGAATCGCCGACATAATCGATTCGTCCCACGATGACATTGTTCGTGGAGTCCATGGAAGATGCCTAAAACGTTCGTAGGTCTAGGAGCATTCGACCTAATATTTGTGGTCTCGACGTGGAAATCAAGTCTGGGGCAAATCAATTCTGCAGTCGACCCCTGGGCCTTTAGAGGACCGAGCAGCCTTCCCCAGATATGTTCCCCTGCAGTCGCGTCTTGGGCCTGGGGGGCCGTCAGAGGGGAGCCTGATCCCAGGGCTGTGGGGCCGGCGTCACGTAAGCGTCGTGACGTCGAGTGTAGAGTCAGCGACCAGAAGGTTCCAAGAGGTCCTGGCTGAGGGGGTTGGTTCAACCTTTTTCCCTTGAGTACCGGTTTTTGGCCCTTTGGAGAGTAGAAGAAGAGAACGGTGGCCAAACCCCATCTGCCTGAACCCCTGTGGCGTAGCCTCCAGATAGAATGAGGAAGATGATGATGATGATGATGATGATGATGATGATGATGATGATGATGATGATGATGATGATGATGATGATGATGATGATGATGATGATGATGCGGAGGATGCGGAGGATGCGGAGGAGGAGGAGGAGGAGGAGGAGGAAGTCTTCTACACCAGTCTTCACACCCCTTCTTTGCCGCCCTCCCCGCCTAGTGACTCCAGGCCTCCCCAGATCACTCTTCACTTATTTCGGGCTGACCTAACTGGACTGGCACGACGGCAACAGCGGCGGTGACGTAAACAGCAGCGGCGACATTTTCGGTGACGACAAGGGCGTTGTTTCCTTTCCGTTCAGTTTCCCATCGATGTCACCAGGCCGTCGCGTATCCGCGTTGTCGTGACGAAGTGCTCTTGAGCTCGCGCGGCGTAGCAGCCACTGTCGGTGATTCAGGGAGCTCTTGCGCTTGTGATTCCGCTTTCGGTCCCAGAAAGATGTGTATCGACATGTTCTGCGATTAGTACCATGGCCGTACACTAGTTGATACACACGCCAAGCGCACATACACGTACACCGACATGTACCCGTATATCAGCAAGGCCACACTTTGTACATACAGTTGTGGTGTTTGTTGGCA